CATAGCTGCAGGGAACATGGGAATTTCAGTAGAAACAGATAATGGGAGTTCCATGTGGCAGGGGAATTCAGCTTTCATTTTTCTACTATTAGAGAGAAGGACGGAGAAAGATACAGCAATACTCAGGTCATTGTTTAACAATGGGAAACTAACACTGGGGTGTCAAGGAGGCTTAGGCTCTCTGCCATCTCACAGTCTCTGCTCGTTCAGACTCTTAAGGAGGGGTGTAACTGGAAGAGCCTGGAACTGAGATCTGCAGAAGGAGAGTGAAGACTGAATTCCCTTCATCTCCTGCTGCCTGCGGCCAAAGGCATTGCCTACGGTAAACCTCTATTGATTCGAGGCCGTCTTAATTCATGACGTTCCTACTGCTTCCAGTGTGGATGTAAAAGGGTGACTGGTCATACCTCCTTTGTGATTTGTACATGTGCAGGTGTAGGGAAGAACACACTTTGAATGAGGAAGACCTGCCTTCAAATCTCATCTCCGATACCTCCCAGAAGGGTTACCAGGGAGGGGCAGGGGGACAAATCACTTAATTTCTCTGTGCTTCAGTTTCCTCATTTGTAAAATGAGGGGACTCACCTTCTTCTTCACTCCCTTCTAGCTGTTGATGTATGGTCCCATGTTCTTAACCAGGAATGGGGGAGAGGGTGCTAGCAAATGGCTTTTGATACTGATACAGAGAGAAAGCAAGGCAGAGAACAGACTTGTAGCCAAGATTTCAAGAATTCCTCCTATATTCCAAAATGGGGGCTCGAGCTATAGGAAAGATTCTTGTTGGGCTTGATTTTTATTAAGAATTCTTGGAAACTGAGGGGATGCCCATCAATTGGGGAATGGCTGAACAAGGTATGGTATATGAATGTAATAATATTATTGTGCTATAAGAAATGATGAACAGGTAGACTTCAGAAAAACCCAGAAAGACTTGTATGGACTGATGCTGAGTGAAGTGACCAGAACCAAGAGAATGTTGTACATAGTAACAGCCATATTGAGCAATGACTGACTTTGATAGATGTAGCCCTTCTCAGCAACGCAAGGATCTAAGACATCTCCACAAGTCTCATGATGGAAAATGCTATTCACATCCAGAGAAAGAACTATGGCGTTCGAATGCATATCGAAGCAGACTATTTGATCTCTCTTTTTTCCTTCTGTTTTGTTTCCTCTTTCTTGTGGTTCCTCCTATTGGTTTTAATTCTTCCTTACAACATGACTAATGTGAAAATATGTTTAATAGGAATGTATATGTAGAGCCTGTATCAGCTTGCACACTGTCTTGGGAAGGAAGGGGAAGAAAAATTTAAAACTCAAAAGCTTATGGAAGTGATTGTTGAAAACTAAAAATAAATTTAAAAAAAACTCTTCTGAATTCTGGACATCTCCCTAAACTAAGTCCTAGTAAAGAGACTTAGGTAGTGTAAGGAGGCTCCTCTCAGAGGCAATTCACCACTGAGTCCTCCAGGTCCTCTGCAATGACTGGTGCACTTACTTTGTTCATCTTCTCTTAATTCTACTCCCACACGGGATCTTTGCAAAAAGGTGCAAGAAAAAATGAATAAAATAAATGTTCTACTTCCTATTTCTAGTCACCATTCATACCGGAAAAGCAGCAAATAAAAAGCCCCCTCTATCATCTGTGGAATGGACAACGTTGGACTGGGAAGTATGCGTTCAACTCCCATGACTAACACTAAATGGCTGTGAGGTCTGGGAAGACCACTCTACTTACTTCTCTGTGATGCCTGTAGGACCTACCTCAATGAGACATCTAAATGAGACAGTGACTAATCAGTGTTTGGAAACATCAAAGGGCCACACCCCTTCGGCTACAGCAAAGATGACTGCAGGAAGGAGAAAGAACTTCTGGCTGAAATCATCCCATGTGCAAAATTAAAACAGAAAAGCCCCCAAAATGCCTACAAATACTGATGGGCTTTGAAGATTAATGTCCCTTTGTACAACATGCAAGGTCAAGATGCTGCAGAGTGGAGAGGGCCCTGGACTTGGAGTCAGAAAGAATTGGGTTCATATCCTGCATTTACTAGCTTTGTGACCCTGGGCAAGTCATTTCTCTGCTCCTTGACTCAGTTTCCTCCTCTGTAAAAAGAGGAATTGGACTCAATGGTCTTTAAGGTTCCATCCAGCTCTAAACCTAGTATCCTATTAAGCTTCAACACAGAGAAATTCCACAGGCTTAAAATTCACAGAGAATAATCATTCTACACAGACTTACAATCTACAGCCAGGCAGTTCTGAGTGTCCTAGGATCTTCACAGATAATGATGATTCATGGCTAACTCTACCTCCCCATATACAAGGGTGGAGTTAATTGACTAAATCAATCAAATCACCTCTCCTTTCTTAAAGTGAGTGATAAGATTCCCTGATATCTTCATGAAGTGAGAGCAGTCTTCAGCCATCAACCAATCAAACCCTTTGAAGAAAGTGCCTCAGCACAGAGTCATGCCCTGCCACCTCTGAAACAGAAGACCAATTCAGAATCCAAAGTATTCAGTCCCTGGAGATTCTGGCCCCACTGAGGGGCAGATGAGGAGAGAGCCTTGTCACTGGGGAGAAGGAGGGAAGGAAGGGAACGTTTTAGCTTCCCCAGAGGAGACTCTTGCAAGTTCCCCATCTAGACATCTAATATCATTAGGGTAAGTAATTCCTTGTGAGGAAATCTGCTCCACAATATAGACCTGCAGCTGCTCTGTGACTCCAAGTCTCTGGGCCAAACAGAGGCTAGAAGACTTGTCCAAGGTCATGCAGACAGTCTATGATGGGGATGTTTGAGTCCACCTTGTCCTGCCTTGGAAACTGACCCTCTCTCTACCCACTATACCAGAGTATAGTGGAGTTTCAATGATTAGTAAAGAAAAATGGAGGGACATCTGTGTCCTGTATTCTGGAATACTTCCGAAATCTGAATTGGATCAATAAACACTCCAGTGGAGATGTCACTGTTGAAGCTCACGGAAAATCGTCTGAAATACGCCTAAGATGTCACCCAGAAATGTGTCCTAGGAGAACATCTTCAGACTTCCAGGAAGAGGAGAGAGAGGGCTGTTTGTGCCATTCTGGTTCTTAGAGAAACATGGGGGCACAGTAGAACATGTATGCACTATGGCTTGACAAGATCCATGCTATGACTCCCTCAGTAGACATCCCATCCTGCTTGGACTATGTCCGGCTGAGGCTCTGTGGGCTTCCTGCCCTAAACCATCCTCCTTGTCACCGGAGAACAGCCACCATGCACTGGGTCCAGGGGCACAGTCAGGGCCACTTTCAGAGGCACTGCCCATCACAGACAATGGCTGGTCTTCCATTTCACTTATATAAACAGAGCAATGACATCACGGCCTTGTGGTTCAAGAAACAGACTCTTTATGGAGGGGTTTTCCTAGCTCAGTTACTTCGTTAGCCTTGAGCTATCTTTTTTCTTTCTGTGACATCACCAGGAGTTACAAATGCAGCCCACTCACAAACTCATCATCTGGATGTACTTCCAGCCTCCCGGCTTCTCTATTGGTCCCGGCTGTTAATCATATGTCTTTCCATTCTGTTCTCTGCATTCATTTAGATCTGATTCAATTGAATTCAAGTTAACAAATGTTTATTAAGTGCCTGCAAAGCCCAGAAAGACAGCAGAGTGTCTAAAGAGGCGGTAGCTTCAAAGCCAGGAAGACCTTGGTTCTAGCCCTGCCTCTGACCTTTCTGGCTGGGTCACCCCGGGCAAATCTCTTCCTCTGTCAAGGCCCTAGGTAACTCTTTCAGTTGACAGCTAGGTCCCACTTAGTACAGACAGCAAATCCCCTGAAGTGATCCCCCACATTTGAATTCACATTGTTCAAAGTTATAATTATGTACAATATGGTCATTGGTTTCAACCCAATGGAAAAATGTGGCGTGGATTTGAAGAACGCAAGCACTTCAGGGAGTTTGTCATTCACACTAATTGGGACCTAGCTGAGTAATTTGCAGAGAAGGTAACTATCTGTATTAGTGGAGGGAATTTCTCTACATGGAAATTCCTTGTACAATGAAATCCCAGCTCCACTCTCTCCTTCTCCCTATATAATAAGATCCCATAGATGTGTGGATAGAATGAGTCAGTGGGATCAGGCACACCCTAATATCATCCTAAAAAGTGACTTTGCATTCTAACTTAATTATGTTATGCCCCTAAGGTAAGACACGTGGCCCTGATGAAGCCAACTGGCCATCCATTTTAAAAAATGGGTCAAGGCTGACTTCTGTCAAATGCTGATATAATATCTAAAGCATCACTAAAAAGTTAGCATCTACTTGGCTCCACAGGCAGCCCCAGATACAATGAGAAACAGCCAGATCCTGTCCTGGGGACATCAGACTTGACTACCTTGCCACGGGGCCTCCATGTGCATCCTCTGCCAACAAAATGACCGGATTTTGCTGTGCCCGACTTCAAGCTCTACCTCAGGACTGATTTAAGCCAGTTAGAGAATGTGAGAAAGAGGGGCCCGGAGGATTCCAGTCCTGGACATCTCTGCTTAAGATTTTCATAGTCAAATGGTCGGCTCAGAAAATCCCTGTACCCATGCAAGTGGGCTTGTGCTTTCCACCTGAGAATCTTCAAGGGTTACCTAGAGCTCTGAGGTGTCAGGTCACCTGTCCAGGGCCACACAGCCAAGATGAGTGAGAGGGGGACTTGTCTTCCTGTCTCGAAGGGCATCTCTCTAGCCACTGCACAACACTCTCTCTTTCTTACAGACCTGCCTATTAAATGTTTGCTGAATGAACTGAATCAAATTGAATTGAATTCATTCAATGAAATAAAGTGAATTCATTTGAATTGAAGTGAATTGAATTACCTGGGATTAATTGGCCTTTTGTTGCCTAGGGCCTTGAGAGGAGAGAGAGATGGAAATACGATGGAAACATGAAAGAAAATATCGATTACAGTCCAGGCTTAAGTCTACTCAGCACAAGGGGGCAGGAGCCCCGAAACTCACCATCACCTCCTGGATGAGAAACATCTCGACATCTCCTGCAGAAAGACGGTCGGGGATCCAGAAGTTGACCGATGAGCCAGGGAGCATGCTTGGTCCAGTGTTATAAACCTGGGAATAGTCCATACATACACACTCATGTTATCCAATGAAAGTATCACTCACAAACACATGGCTATGTTTCTTTGGTCCAATCGATGATTTATCAGTTTCAGGAATTCTCTAATACAGATTCGCAATCTCCCTTGAACTTACCATCCTAGAGAGCTTCCTAGGTACTTATAGTGGAAGTAAGTGACTTACCCAGGGTCACATAGCCCATATGGGTCATCAGCAGAACTTGAACCCAAGTCCTCCTGACCCCACACTGCTTCTCTATATTAAGTACAATTAAAATAAGCTTCCTGTTAGACTTGCCATGTCTCCTTGACTGCTATAAAGTCACTCAGAGAAAGTCATGCCTTAAGAGGGTAGAACATAGATGCAAAGGTAAGTTCAATATAACAAAAAACCCAATACTACAAAATAATATATTCCCCCCTCCTTTTAAGGGTTCTCTCTCTTCTTCTTCCTGCTAAACATTATAAACTATTTTATTTGTTTGAAATACAGAAAATCTAAATGGCAAAAAGCTGATTTGGAATCAAAAAGAGCATCTGAAGCAGTCTGGTTCAAGCTACTCATTTTACATGTGAGGAAACTGAGGTAGGGAATTCATCTCTGATTCTCAGACTTTCACTTTTCCACTACATCAGGCCATATTTTAAAATATTAATGAAACCAATGGTTTGCTGATGGTTTCGTCAATTCACATCACAGTCATTTGCAGATAAAGTACCTCCTCTCTCACCCACCCAATGAGCCTTGTAATATCACCAACAAAAAAAGTTAAAGCAAGCCAATTGACAGCCTCCAGGTTGGACAAGATGGGTGAGGTCCTGCTGCCATAATCCTCCCTGATACTTGGAAAGAAGGGAAGTGTGTTTCCTCATCTCTTCTCTACATCCAAGATGATATCACAAGATACTCTAATTTATTCGTTTTGGAATATGTCACTAACTGCACATTAACATCTTGCCCTTGGAATCCTCTCCTACTTCTCCTCCTTAACTACCCTGCCAATATGTCCCCAGATGCCTGATCATTTTTCTGAAAAACAACGAAGGCAAAGATAGAAGTAGGCAGAGAGGTAAGCTAGGTAACGCGCCGGCCTCAGAATATGGCTGGGCTTGGACCACAAAGAGAAAAGAGAGACCGAGAGAAAGCTCAACAGCACAAACCTCAGAACGTGAGCCAAAAAGCAAAGAAAGGTAAGAAGCATTGGCTTTGGCAAGGGCTAGGAATAAGGGAGGGGTGGTTAGCAGGCAGTTCCTTTGAAAAAGCTTTGTGGGTTTTAATAGACTGCAAATTCAATTCGAGGTTAACAGTGTGATATGGAAGCCAAGAAGGATAATGCAATTGTTCGACTATGTTAAGAGAGGCCAAGCTTCCAGGAACGGGGAGGTTAGAGTACCACTGTACTCAGACATAGTTGGACCACCCCGGAGCACCGAGCTCAGCACCAGATGGCACCATGGTTCTAAAAGAACACTGATAGGAAAGAGAGTGTCAAGAGAGGACAATCAGGACGATGGAAGTCCATGCCAGATGAGGATCTCTGGAGGGACAGGAGATGAAACAATTCCATGGGGACATGAGAGATGTCTGTTAGTATTGTCAGGGCTGACACACAGAAGAGGGATTTGTGTGATGGCAGGAGGCAAAATTACAATCAGAAACCAAAGGATTTGAGATCAAGAGTTGGAGAGGACCTTAAAGGCCATCTCCTCAAAGTCCAACTCCTCCCATTTTTCTTGAGAAGACTGATGCGGAGAGACCTTGATATAAGGACACATTCCTAATGAAAACAGCCCCCCCCAAAGAGGAGTGGGCTACCGTGGAGCCAGTGAGCTCCCCCTCATTAGGACCACAGACTTAGAGCTGAAAGGCACCTTATAGGACAGTGAGTTTTATAGATATTTATAATTATTTATTTCATATTTATAGATTTTTTTTATGGATAAAAAACTGAAGCACAGAGAGCAAAGATTGAATGGATGGCCCCTTTTCTGTTATAAACTGTAAAGGGAGCTGGAGAAGGAAATGGCCAACCACTCCACTATCTTTGCCAAGAAAACCTCAAATAGGGTCACGGATAGTAGGGCACAACTGAAATGGCTGAACAACAACAGTGGAAAGAGCTCTTGAGTCAAAGGACTTGGGTTCGAATTCTACCTCTGACTTTACCTACGTGGCCTTCGACAAGGCCCTTAACCTAAGTCCTCTGTAAAATGAGGGGACTGGACTCAGTAGCAGATGAGACTCTTCCAGGTCAGAATCTCTGCTCCCAGGAGCCTTTAGAAATTTGCCTACCCCCTTTAGTACATCCAATAAACATTAATTAAGTACCAGTTATAATAAGCACCAATTAAGTCAGGCACTGAGCTTACTTATATTCTAATAGGAAGAAGCAATATCTACCCAGATGAGTAAATACAATATACACATATCAGTATGTGGGTGTGCATATATATGTAAATACTCACACGATAATTTCATGGGGGAGAGTGGAAAAGGCAAGAACTGAGACTATTAGGAAAGGTCTCAAGTAGGAGATGGCCTACCCCCTGCATTGTACTTTGAGGGAGTTAGGGACTCCAAAACACACCACCCATTTCCATTTCTACCACAGAAAGGCTGATGATGACATTAGAAAGAAAGTCTCTTCTTAGAGGGCAATTTACACACACACACATACACACTTACTTTATTTATATATTTATGTGTTTATATTCCTTATTTATATGGTAAAGCTTTTTGCATTATGACTATGGGAGGCATCCTACGTTATAAATATAATGACTGTCATCCCTATACTTCACCTCATCCTTTAATTATTAATACAATCATTATAGGCAAACCATTAGTCAGACCATTGGCACATCTGGTCTTTATCTGTTTCCCAACCAATAATAAAAGGCAATGGAAAAAACTCTATCTTTGCAACTAATTTTCTCTTTTTCAATCCCAGGGACTGGTGGTCTGGGCCTTGTTCACTCCACCCTCCCTGCCTATAAATCAAGGGCAGGGCATGACAGTCTCTGAGAGGGAGTCTCTCCTCCCCAAGATGGCGCCATGTGCTACCCATTAGTCCGGAGGTGGCACAGGGCCTCGGTAAGGCAGCTCAAAGGAGCCCAGTTGTTTATAAGAGCCAACAAACGTTTGTCTCACACCCTCTGCCTGTCCCCCAGCTTCTTCCCCTCCCCCTGCCTTCCCAGGCCCTCTCACAGCCCTTTCTTTGTCTTTCTCTTACACTCCCTAACTCCCACCTGGAGGCCAAACGGAAGAGGAATAATGCTCGTGGGACTGCTTTAGCAGCACAGAGACACATCCTAGCTGGAATCATGGAACCGCCCATCCAAAAACCATTTCATCCATGAAGAGAAGGCAGAAGGAGGCCAGGCCCCCAGGCAGGGAGTGGAGAATGTGAAAATCATGGGATAACAGTTAGGGTTCACCGAGCTCAACCTCCTCATTTCACAGAGGCTGAAAGTGACGCCCAGAAAAGTGAGGGGCTTGGCCACCGCCACAAAGCTAACAGAAGAAAGCCAGGATTAGAACTCAGGTCCTCTGACTATAAACCCAGCACTCTTCTACCTGTATATACAACAGTATAAATGAAATAGTACTGCTGTTTAATGGGAAACAGTGTGACAGAGAGTCTGAAAGACCTGAATTTGAATCCTACCTCAGACACTTACTAGCAGGGTAACCCTGGACAAGTCACAGTCAGCCTCAGTTTCTTCACCTGCAAAATGGGAATCACAATAGTACCTAATACACAGGGTTATCATAAGGACCAAATGAGTTAATATATGTAAAGTACTTTGTAATCCTTAATTCGATATAGAAATGTTAGTAATTTTTTAGGGATAAGAATAGAGAGTGGACCTGTGATCCCATTGGCATGGGGAATTCCCAAGTGAAAAATCTCCATTTACCAGTGCAGGTTAGCACCCTCGTGTCCTTTACAGCTTTAGAAAGCATGGTGTCTGATACACAGTAAACACTTAATCAATGCCTGAAGGTTTAGAGAGCACTGAGGGGTCAGTGACTTGTCCAGGGTCACATAGCCAGGATACATTAGAATCAGAACTTGTGTCCAGGCCAATCCGGCTTCAGAGCTGGCTCTCTATCTACCAGGCCAGGCTACCTTGCTAGCTACTGTTACTATTATCATTAATATTACCGGTATAAATCTTATCAGAATGAGGTGAAGCAATGGACAGAGCTGAAATAACACTGCCGAGTTGGAAGGCAGCAGCGGCCTTCATTGTCCAGCTCTCTTGCCAGGCTAGGAGGAAAGCCCACGGCGAACAGAAGAGCAGATGGGGGGAAGAAAAGGCTGACTGGGTCATGGGCTCATAGCTCTAGAATTAGAGGGACCTCAGAGGCCATCCAGCCCAACCTCCTTGTTTGACCCATGAGGGAACTGAGACCCAAGGTCACACGGCAGACAGCGGCAGAGGCGGAGCTTGAGGGCATAGGCAGTGATCTTTCCACTGCCACCACCTAGGTATCATGAAATGAGCCCTGTGTGAAGTGGAAAAGCAACAGCCAGTGAGTCAGGAGCGTGTGGATACTAGGGAAGGAGAACGGGGCTTGACCACATCAACCATGGAAAATCTAATTAACGTTACCAAGCAGACAATGCTAGGGGGCTCCTGGGAACTCCAGGGCTCTTACCTGCAGGGTGATGTTGAGAGGCTGATACTGGCATTCCCAGTCCTCCAGCTGAACGAAGTTGGATGACTCAATGGATTCACCATACATGAAGGAGGTGGGGGACACGACTCTGAGGGAACAATGAGACAAGCTCATCATCTCGGCTTCGAGTTTAGGGTTCCTGGTCACCAGCACTCATAGAACACTAAGCAGTACAGAATTTGGAGTCCCAGAACCTGGGTTCAAATCTCAGTTCACCTGCCCCTACTACCTATGTGACCATCAGCAAGTCACACTAACTTAAGTCACAGCTGACAGTAAGTTGCAGAGCTAGGATTTGAACTCAGGTCCACAGGAGAACAGGATCGCCAAAGTAGAGCTAAAAGAAGCCTTGGTCTTCTAGTCCAAACCCCTCACTTGATGGATGAGGAAACTGAGTTCTGGAGAGATTAAGCGACTTGCCCAGGATTACACAGACAGCAGACACTTGGGCCAGTATTTGAACCTAGATTCTCCTACTCCAAATCTCGTGCTTCTGGGATCCAGACACTTCCCACGTGTCTAAGACTTTCCAGGTGACAAAGCTCTCCCTTCACAACAATTCTATAAAGAAGGTAAAATTATTATCCCCATTTTATAGCTCAGGAAACTGAGGCTCAAGGGGTTGCTTGCAAACCTGGTAAGTGACAGAGCTGAGATGTGAGCACAGTCTCCTGACGCTAAGCCCACCCACACGACCAGGCTGCCGAGCCAATGTGAAATAAACTCCAGTTTCTTTTAGAACTGATGGATGAAAGTCCACGTTTTTGCTTTCTGGTTTTGGTTATCATTTGAAAACGAGTTCGTTTGCCAAGGCATGTCACAGTAAGATTTGAAGAAAAAAAAGGGAGGGGTGCTCCTGTTTTGTGATGGTGTTCTAAACCACACTCTACAAATGAGAAAACCAACAAAATCCAGTCCTTCTCCTTCATACGGAATTGTCACAATTTCAGGAGTGCTGAAGATTACAGGCTTAGATGGCAGTGACAACCAAAATAAGCAGTTGGAGGAGGTTCGGGGGGTTGTGGGCACAGCGCTGAGGTTGGGGAGCTAGGTAGGTGGTCAGGGATCCGGTAACATCCCCCCCACTCAGTCGTTCGGTCCTGGTGATTTCCACATCTCCTCTCTCGACAAAGCAAATGAGGAAACTGAAGTCCAGATTCCTCCCAATGCCTCCATAACGAACCATCAACAAATCACTGGGTGGTACCAGAGGAGTCATTCACTTGCCGAAATCCAACAGCAGAAAGAAAAAACCCACAGGAAGAAACTGGAATCAGAAAGCGGCCCATGCGCTCTGGAAGTCATTTCATTCATTGGGAATCAGAGGGAGGTCTTGGTATTATGGTGGAGGGAATCAACGCCCCAGGAAACATGAAGATTGGCCCATTTTTTAAAAAATTCAGATCTATGATTTCGTTAGAGTAGAAACTCTCTGAAAGGAAAGTCCCTCCACTAATCTAAATTAGCACCTGACCTGCAATGTAGAGCCTTAGAGAGGTTAAGGGCAGTGCCCTGAGTCACCCAGTAGTAGGTGTCAGAGGTGAGACTGGACCCCAGGCCTCTGGCCACCACACCACTCTGTGCCCTCAGGTAGATGTTCATCTGACTTCCCTGGTTAATACTCGGATATTTCAAGGATAAGTAATTTTGCCCCTCTGGGTATAAGCCCTTGATGACTTGAGATTTGGGCTCTGACACTTTCTGTGGCAAGAAATTGATATACACACACACACATACACACAGAGTGGCCACTTAGCTGGTGAGGCCCCGCAGGTGACAGACACAAGCAGCCTATCACCGACCCTTCCACAGCTAGATCACATCTGCCTTCATGCCACCAACATAGGCTTTCAAGGACTCGACCTCAGCCCCACGTTGTTTGGAGGCATCAAACAGCAACTTGGGTGGAGACATTCATTTACAAGGAAAAACCGAATCAGCCAAATTCACATTTCTAGAGGTCTTTAAGCACTTTCCATACACCAGCCCTGAGAAGGAAAAAGTGTCCTATGATACCCATTTTATAGATAAGGAAAGTGAAACAGAGAGAGGTAAAGTGACTTGGCCAGAGTCACACAGCTAGTCAGGGCAGAAGCCATGATTCAAACCCAGACCTTCAGACTCTCCACCCACCACTGTGTTGACAACTGCCTTAATTGTACCCAAATATCCCCTTCTGCCTTAAATGAGAAGGGAAGGAAAGAGAATAAGCCTTTCCATAGTGTCTTTGCTGAAAAGGATGGATTACTAGGGAGGGGAGGGAGAAGAGAGAGAGCTGGAAACGAAGGTGGTGTAAAACCAAGAGACATCCACTAAGATTTTTAAAAACACAAATGGAATTATAACATTTGACTTTTTATAGGATACCTGCTCAGACCAGACCCAAGAGTTTCTGTCTCTTATTTCTCGGTATCTCTCTGGCCTTCCTGGCAGGTGAGACAGAAAGCGGCCAATGCCAGGGCTCCCGGCAGGCAGAGGAGAAGTCTGATGGAGGCCTCCTTCCTCCCCCAGCTCTCCTCCTCTCTCCTCCTTCCTTCCTCTCTGCTCACTTTGGAACGGAGAACCCCGCTTGGATTGTTCTCAAGGTTGGCTTAATTGGGACTAGGAGAGGTCGCTGAAAGAGGTCACTGAAGTCCAGCTTATTGAACAGGAATGCCTGTGTGTCATAGCTCTCTGTCACTCGAAGGAACTATCTTCTCAATTTATAGAAGACCCTTTGACGCTGTACATGTTTGTGCTCTGCTGAAAACATCCACAGACGCCTGTTGTTTGTGTGAGCAGACTCAGCCTGCCCGGTGTAATAAGAGGACACCAGCGTGGAACTGAGGTGAGAGACACGGGAGCAGGGCCAGGAACATTTGCTCATGTTTTTGCCCAGAAGTCATCTATCTTTTGAGGCAGCTGGTGGCACAGTGGGTTAAGAGCCCTGGACCTGGAATCAGGAAGCCCTGAGTTCAAATCCAACTTACTAGCTGTGTGACCTTTGGAAAGTCCCTTAACCTCGATTTGCCTCAGTTTCCTCATCTGTAAAACGGAGATAATAATAGCAAAGTTGTGAGGACCAGATGAGATAAGGATTGTAAAGCACCTGGCACACAGCAAGCACTATGTAAATGTTGGCTATTATCATTATTATTATTATCATCATCATCATTTAAATTGGTACACTGATAGCAGCTAGCTCTCAAGGTGGTTATAAGGTTCAAATGAGCTAGCACACGTAAGCACTTTGCAAACTTTAAAATGCAAACTTGACATCATTGTCATTTCCACTCTTGCTGCTCTCATGATGCCTTTGATGAGGAAAGTTCACTTCACCCATCTAATTTGATAAATATTGACTGAGGGTCTCCTGTACTAGGGGCTAAGGAGAAGAGAAAGATAAGTAAGGCATAGCTCTGGACAAAAGGCGCTTCCAGCCCAGTGGAGGTAACATAGGTCTATACTCCCCCTCCTACACGGGACTATGGGCACTTCCTACCCACAAAAGGGAGGGTCCCGAACCTGGATCTGTGGACAATCTTGGAACTAGCTAATGGCAATAACAACTTGCATTTTATAATGAGCACTTTCCTCACACCAAGCCTGGGAGGTAGACAGTGCCAGTAGCATCCCCATTTTACAGATGGACAAACCGAGGCTCAGAGAAGATTAAATGACTTGTCGATCCCCACACAGGTAGTAAGTGTCAAAGAACAGATATGAACCTAGGTCTTCCCGGCCTTTCCATAGGTCTTCCCGGCCTTTCCATCCAGCAGCCTTTCCACAGCATCGTGCTGCCTCTTTTAAAACGCAGGGTTATAAATCTGCTGAAAGCAAATCGTTTCTCTTAGGAGAAGGAGGTTGCCGCCATGCCTCTGCCTCTGAAGCCGGCTTAAGAGGCTCTCACCAGGTCAGATCTCTCTGCAGGATTTCAACATTTCCATTTCCAGCCTGGGCCAGGACCCAGGAGCACTTGAAAGTCAAATATGAGAGTCTCTGAACCTTTCAAGAGTTCAGCCCAAGTTTGGAGACCAGGGTTCAACAGGTCCTTACTTCATCCAAATGAATTGGGGAGATCCTTCCAGCTTCCATCAGCGCCCTTTGGTGTGACTCCTGAATGTGGACACAGGAGCTGGGTCCATGGCTCTTCCTCCTCCAGGCACCATCTTCAGCAGCTGATGGACATTTATCCTCCCAAACCCTCACTGCCTCAGTTTTCCAGACCCTTGACACAGGATTTGGACCTCACCACCATCACCCTCACTGGTTTCAGAACAAGGGGTAATAAGGGACATCCAGAACTAACTATAAATTACAAAGACATCTATTAGACCCCCTGCTCTGATAGTACAGGTCATCAGAAAAGCCAGAACAGTCTTAGAACATCTGGTCTTGACTTCCAGTCTCAGGCCTCTCAATGACAGCTTTAACTGCAGAACCCCACTGCCGGCTGGTCTTATAACATCTGGCCCTAACCTCTGGGCCCAAGCCTCTCAACCACAGTTTTAACTGCAGAACCACAGGACTGGCCTCCACCTGGGATTTTCCTAGAACTCTTGGGAAAATGAAAAAGATATTGGAGTTCAGAATATTCATGGAATTACAGGATCTAAGTTTGTCAGCCTATGACTAGTGTTCTCGGGCTTCCTATCACAAAAGAAGGAGAAACCATGAGGAAGATCCACAGGGCCAGGAAGTTCTACCTTCCACGTTGAAGGAGCTCCCAGACATGAAAGGGGAAACGGGGAAGAATGAAATTGGCCACGTGTCTTGACAATCCTGCGGTCGATTGGTGGTCACTTACCCAGTGATGGACGTGTCTACTTCATGCATCAGAGGCACAGACAGAATAAGGGTGTTGTCATGGAGTGAGTCGGAGCGTTCTACATTGCCACTGGTTTGGAGAAAGAGGAAATAATCGTGTCATTGCATCTGTCCAAAGGCCCTGATTAAGCTGCTGAACCAAGCTGCGACATCACTGTGAACAAGCCGATTCTTGGAGCTCAGCAGCAGAGACTAAATTGGGAGTCATTCCCCCTGGGGAAGGCACCAAAGACCTTGCCCAGAAAATAAAGCATGAATTGTGCTCTCAACGTCAGGGGTAAGATAAATGCACCCCTGCAAGCCAACTGGTAGCTTCCCATCTTGACAGTCCACAAGCATTTATTATATGAGAGACACAGAAAGACAACAAACTCTGCCCTGAAGGGTTCACATTGTAACAGGGGGGTGACATCATGCAAACAACTATATACATCATGCAAGATATATACAGTATACGCAAAAGGTAACCTCAGAGGAAAAGCACGGGCTGGAGGTCGGAATTGGGGGATAAGGAGAGGGGGAGACCAGGAGAGGCCTCTTGACTAGGTTAAAAAATTGGTGGTTTTTGCTGCTGAAGAACTCCAAAATTAGCACCACAGTACAAAGCCCCAGTGGCCCCACCTTAGTTATGGCTCTGGTCAGCTGCCTTGTGCTGGGTCTCCCATGAAAGCATCACATGTAGACTGAGGGGCCAAGACAGCAAAGACAGATGCCCAGGACGGGGAACACGTGAATTTTTTTACAAATGTTTCTGACTTGGACAATGTGGACAGACACAAACAGCAGAAGCTGCTTCTCAAAATACTGCCCTCACAGTGAGAAAGTAGAAGCACTAGACTAGAGCCCCGGAAGCGCTTTCTCAATTCTGTAAACACTGACCAAGCCTCTTCCATCAGTAAGGGCCTGTTCTGAGTGCTGAGCACACAGATTCAACAACAGCAAATAAGCCACGGGGAGCTTACATTCTCCAGACAAACACTTGGTTGCTTCTGGCAAACGAGGCACCATTTAAGGCATGGCCGGCGGCCTGAGAGATCCACAGGGAGCTAGACACTGTTCCAGGGGCCAGGGAAGGGGCTATCTGAACACAATGGCTCCTGGGAACTCCCTTGGCTTAACTTCAGAGGTGTGAGATGAAAGCCCAGGCACCGGCAGATCCCAGATGGAAACGTCAAACGAAATCAGTTGTTCTAGTGACTGTGTAATCATTAAGATGTATACAGAGAAGGCTTGCATGGATTTCCAACTGCTCCTCCTCTACCTCTTTGCAGAGGTGGGAGACTACGGGGACAAGACTTTGCATATACTGCCAGATTCAGTGGATTACTGGCTGGTTTTGCCAAATTGCTTCTTTTTCCCCTTTGATTTTTTATTCTTTTTCTAACAGATGACTTTCTGGGAAATGGAGAGGCCCTTAAAAGTCTTAGTTATTTTTAAGTTATTAAAACTTAATGCTGCATTAAGATTTGGGGGCTACTCTGTATTTAGAAATGAAAATGATGGGAAAATCAAAATATATTGATAAAAATTTAAAATAAAATAAATTTCAGACTCATGGAACCTCAGATTTATAATTCAATGATCATTGATTAAATATATCCTGTGGCCCAGATCAGGCACTGGGGACTTAAAGACAAAATCAGTCCCTGCCTTCATGGAGTTTCTACTCCAACGGATGCCTCTGGCCCCTCTCTCTTTGAGCCCCTTTATGCTCCAGCACTGGAATGTGATCCCCCTAAGCAAAGAGGCCTCAGTTCTGATCCTTCCTTGCAGACTAGATCTCAGATTCAAATAACAGCCCTCACCCACCTCCCTTTCCCAAAAGTGAACAGAAATAGGATATTATTCACGACAGATTCCGATATATATGACTGGCAGAATCATCTCCCAGTGGGAGATTAAGCAGGAGATTAAGCACCTTCTGCCTCTCACTGATGCCCTGTGGCGCCCCACCCCTTGCAGTCTGATTTATCCACAAAGCCTCATCACTCTTCTGAACAGCTATCTCAGCCTAAGCTAAGTTTAAAAGGAAAGTTAGGGAAGCCAACATCAAAAGGCTTCCCTTTATCACAGGAAACTCATGAGAGTGGTAGCTTCTCACACATACAAAGACTTGGTTTTCTTGGGAAAGTCAGAAGGTTGAACTTTCTTCCTTCCTTCCCTCAACAAGAAAGCACTTAATAAATGCTGGTTGTTGACTGACTGTTTCTCAGAGCCTAGGAACTGACCTCGGTGATGTTTCTCCTTGCTTTGGTCAGTGGGAGAGGCCAGGGTGGGCCCCTCACATCCCTTCCACCCCTCTGAATGGTGGTTGGCACTGCCTTCCAACATCCCTTACACACTTCCCTTCAGAAGCACTTCCAGCAAAGCAAAAAAATAGTAGCTGACATAAATGTGTCTTGTTTGGTAAAGAAACCCAGCTATCCCTGTTAGGGCATCTTCTCCAGGGGGTTAACAAAGGCTAGGAATAAATGTGGAGGCGCACTTGGCCCAGTTTTCATCGTGCTGAAAAACACCTCCACTTTTGCTCATCAGACTCTGGAGACATGTGCCATCACTGTTCCCCAGGGGCAGCCATGGGACACCCCCGTTCATTCTCACTTTTAAAAAGCGACAGCAGCGATGAGAAACGTCTTTAGCCAAATTTTTAATGCCTTACCTTTGAGCAGTCACAAGGAATTTCAGAGTTTCCTCCTCCCCAGACAGGTGGCTGGTGTCAAAGATCATGCTGAACTCATACTGGAGAGAGAGAAAGGGATGTTTGGCATCGAAGGACATTCCCAGCCCCGAGGCTGGCCCCCTACAGTCTTGTCCAGCATCTTCACCTCCCAGGGGCTCCTTCACTTGACAAGCTTTCCCTTTTATGCACATCTTGAACAGAATCTGGCCATGTGCATAATTTCAATAATAAAATCCTGGGAGATGCTGCATTCTTTACCCGAGGTTTCGTTCCACAAATGACTGCTACTTCAGTGCTTTTCCCTTGCACATCACAAGTTGGATGCATTTTTTAAAACCTACAAGGGAGATGTGTGCTCACATGGAGGTTTTTGAGGGTCTGGTTTTTATTTTATTGTCTACGCTGTCACTAACAAAAACCAAATAAAAGGAGCCTTCCCAAATACAGAGAAGAACAGATATAAGAGGATTGTACTTGAAAGTCCTTAGAGAAAAGGCATCTGGCAGAGGGCTCTGGAAACCTGGGTTTGAGCTCATAACTTGTGGGTACCCTCAAGCGAGTCTTCGCTTCTTGCTGACTTAGTTTCCTCATTTGCAAAACTGGAATTAGAATTCTTGCCCTACCCTCCCTCATGGGGTTGTTCTGATGCTCCAGTGAGGCCGGTGTGAAAGCCCCCAGAGAAGCAGAAAGGGTTCCTGACAGGCTGAGATGCTGCCAAGCCCTGGCCCCAGAAGACAGAGCCCAAAGCTAGGATGAGAGGAGAGCCACACCGAAGCCTTGGACCAAAGGGCAGGAGCCAGCAGAGAGGATGCTCGACATCAAGACACAAGAAAGCTCGAGGCCAAGCCCAGGCCCTAGGTCAGGAAGGAGGGACCTCTCAGAAGCCTGGGGTTGTCCCCAGGAATGCAGGGGTCGAGGAGCAACTAGGAGATTTGGGGGTGGGGTGGAACAAACCAATCAGCCAATCAACTAAGTACCTACTTCATGCATAAAGACAGAGCAGAAACAAGTCCTGCCCTCATAGAGCTTACACTCTATCCACAAGGACAATATGGACACACACACAAAAGGAATGCCTCAGGACTACATAAACGTGGTAGGGGGACCTTAACAAAGCTTACTGATGGAGCAAGTGAGTCACAACACATTGGAGGCCGGGGATGGGGGTGGGGGGGCTGAGGCAGGCCCAGAGGCTTCGGCCCAGCTGGTGGACCTAGGACCTCACGGCTCAAAGGTTGCCAGGCACAGACCAGATCCTCGCTCCGCCGGCCACTTGCTGCCTGTGTGCTCCCTATTATCATCCCCATCTGACAGATCAGGAAAATGAGGCTGATGGAGGTGAGTTGGCTGGCGCCCAATCACCCAGCTATGTGGAAGCAGAGCCGGGGTCTCTGGTTCACACATCCAGAGTTGGAAGGCTCGTCAGGGGCCAGCTGGCCCTCCACTCTCACTCTGGAGGAGGAAAGCAAGACTCGGAGGGCTTATGTGAAGTCTGAAGGGACAGAGGCAGGATTTGAACACGGTTCTTCTGACTCCAAGTCCAGTTTTCTTTCCATTACATCTTGGTAGAAATTTTTTCCAAGTACAGTCAATGACTTTCAAAGAAATTTCACCACTAGGTGGCACACTCATAAACTCACTGGATGACAGATACAAGTCCCAGAACCAGGAGTGAGGATGGGACCTACCTGGGATTCTGCCAGCTGTACACACACACACACACACACACACACACACACACACACACACACACGTGCGCGCACACACGCACGCACACACACACATACACACACACGTGCGCGCGCACACATACACATTATTGCTGCTTTCTCCATCTTTCTTTTCTCTGCTCCCTCTTCCCAACCTATGATCATTGGCCTTGATCTCAAAGCTTAGGTCTATGTTGGAGTGAGAGTGTGGGAGAAGGAACCAAGCATCCATTATAGAAGGTGGAAGGGGCTGCCTTCCATTATCCCTGGGCCACAGGCAACAGGTGGGCAAAGACTCTCCCTGCAAGGGGCCCTGCTGGCAAAGCAAGACACCGAGGCTAGGATGGAGATGGGGGACGTATTCCTCGCAAAGGAAGTCTCCCGTCCAATGGCTTCTATGCAAGGAGGACACAAAGAGTCTTCCCATTTTAAATGGGTTCCATGGTCCTGGGACACACACCAACGGTTGTCATTGCAGATGAAAAAAAAACCAAAGGATCGAAAGTGATTTCCCCCCAAACTCACAGAGCAAGTCATGGTGGATGCACGGACAGAAGAGCCGCCCTCCCTTCCATAGTCATACTTGGCTGTCAAGGTAATGACTGACCTAGATCGGATGCTTCTTTCCAATGCCCAGCTTCTTGCATACAGTGGGTGACCAGTAAATACTGCTGAATGAATGGAGTTTGAACCTGGAACCCTCCACTGAGATGTATTTTTTATATTTTAATTAAAGTGATTAAAATCATGTTTGGTGGATAAGTCTGAATGATGGAAAATGCCCTGCAATACTGACACAAAAGCAGGGTTAGGGATCACAACAGCATGGCATAGCGGAAAGAGTGTTTGGCTTTGGAGCAATCAGATGATCCGAGTTCAAATCTTGCCTCTGTCTCTTACTATCTGTGTGACCTTGGGAAAGTCACTTTACTTCTCTGGCCTCAGGTTCCTCATCTGTAAAATGAGAGAGTGAGATTAGATGGCCTCCAAGATCCCTTCCAGTTCTATCTTAATGAGCCTATGATGCCCACTGGGTTCAATTCCCTGAGCGTTTATTAAGCACCTACTATTTACAAGACTGCCTCTATGCTAGGTGGATGGAAATACATAAGACAAAGTCACACCCAAAAGAAGCCCCTACTTTCAAGGAGTTCATAGTCTCCTTTATCCAGATAAGGAAATAAAGATGATTGGAGGAGGGAGAATGTACTGGGCTTAATTAGTGATCGTTGAATGACTGGTAGACATGGAGATTAGGAAAGTCTCCACACAGAAGGCAGCATTTGAGAAGAGTCTTGGCAGAAGTAAAGGAGGCCATTTCAGGCTTGTGGCACAGACTGGGCAGGCTCAGCTGTCAGAAATGGACGGTCAAGGTCAGGGAATACTAAGCAGGCCAGTTTGGCTTGTTAAAATATCACATGGGAACCATAGAAGGTTCAAGGTTCTGTTTGGTGGGATGGAAGGGATGTTCACAGATCACAGCTTGCCTCTCAAGTGCCTTCATGTAGCTTAAATAGCCCAAGAGGTAACTAGGTCCTAAAGACAGGAATCTAAGATAGGATGGCTGGACTTAGGAGAACCTGAGTTCAAATCCTGCCACATTTATTGGCTGCGTGACTCTAGTTAAATCATTTAACTTCTTCAAGCTTTAGTTTCCTCATCTATGAAACGGGGGTGATAATAGCACCCACCTCATAGGGTACTATATTTACATATATGTAAAGCACACATGAGCTACTCCTATTAGTGAGAATGAAAGAAGGGGTCTACCTTTTTCTCATATTCCATCCCACAGGAGCATTCAGTATAGCCACCCCCAAGATTAAAGTCTTCTCAGTTGCAAACTCGCTTTTTTACTGTTGTTCAGTCATGTCTAACTCTTTATGGCCCCATTTGGGGTTTTCTTGGCAGAGATACTGGAGTGGTTTGCCATTTCCTTCTCTGACTCATTTTACAGATGAGGAAACTGAGGCAACCAGGGTGAAGTGACCTGCCCAAGGTCACGCATAAGTGTCTGAAGCTGGATTTGAGCCCAGGAAGATGTGTCTCCCTGACTTCAGGCCTGGTGCTCCATCCACTGTGCCACCTCGCTGCCTGCTAACTGCCTTGGTCATGAGCTAAAAGCTCCCAGAGCTACCACTGTTAGCAGGAAAAGGTAATGCCCCTCCACAGGCAGAGAAAGCAGCCACTGATCTTGGAGCCCACTTCTTATAGGACCCGGGCCTTGAGCTGGAAGGGCCCAAAGGTCACCCAGGGCAAACCCCCTCGTCTTGTAGGTGAAGAAACTGGCTAAGGGATCTGCCCCAGGGCAGCACCGGAGCCGGGCCCTCTGTCTCTGATGCTCTTGTTGCTGCGTCTCTACCTACCACAGGCCTTCGGCGGCCTCCGGTCAGGACGAGAAGACAGTCTGCTCCTTACCTTGGTCTTTGACCTCATGAAAGGAAATCCCACACTGCATTTGAGGAAGTCAGACTCCAGCAATTCACAGGAAATGCCCATCTCCTCCTGGAAGAGAAAAACAAGACCATGTGAGACAACTGGAGAAGAGAGGGAGGCATCTGGATGGACCTGAACACCAAGATCAACCTCTCCCCCTCGCCAAGGGAACCTGAGGGCTGCACCTGGGAAGAAGGCTCCATCAGCAAGCACAGGAAGCACCCACTGCGTCGAGGACCGACAGGAGAGCGCAGAGGAAGCACCTGCTGCGGGAAGGGCCGACAGGAGAGTGCACAGGAAGCACCTACTGTGTGGAGGACAGACAGGGGAGCGCAAAGGAAGCACCTACTGTGTGCCAGGAATTGTGTGAGGCACAGGAGATCTGAATACAAAGAAGGAAACAGAAACCTAATACAGAGAAGTATAATGCCCCCACACATACACACACACACACAACTCCAGAATACCAGATGGGGAAGTCATGGCTAAGGATTGGCTTATGTGAAGAGCATCCAGAGGCTGCAATGAACCACAAAGCCACTATGGGATAATAGTGTCACATGGAAGCCATGGACACTAATAGTGGCCCAGCACCCAGAACGAGGGAGGTGAGAATCCCACAGTCCTGCACGATTACATGCAGTGCTGGGCATGACAATCAGGGGCGCAGTGATAAGCTGAAGCACATCTGGGAGGGCAACCAGGAAGAGTCTTGAAACCAAGCCACTCCCCAGCCATCCATACAGGCAGCTATCAAGCCCAGTCCCTGTTCCATGCTCCCCCTGTGTACCCTCCCTTTATGTGGTGTCTTCCTCCATTAGAATGCAAGCTTCCTGAGGACAGGGACCATCTTGCTTGTAGTGTATTTCCTGCACTGATCAGAGTGACTGGCACATAGTGTCTCTCTCTTTCTCTGTCTCTCTCTCTGTCTCCATCTCTCTCTCTCAGCTAAGAGAACCTGGAATGTTTACCCTAGAGAATAAAAGATTTAGGGGGCTCATGGCCCGATAGCTGTCTTCAGGTCTTCGAAGAGGAGTTCCACGGATGTGAGATCTGAGGCATCCTTGGCCCCAGAGTGAAGCCGTCGGAGCATTCAGGGTAAGTTGCGCATTTAGGCTCAGAATCAGAACCTTTGAGCAGGAAGGGGCCTCCAAGCCCACCCAGCAAGCCACAGCTGACAAAGAATGCCTTTTACTCCCATCTGCCTAGAGCGCACCCAGTCTTTGCGTGAAGACCGCTATTAGGAGGGATCCTGCTCCAAATAAAGAAACATTTCCTAACAAGTGGAGCTGCCTTTTAGCAGAAGGGGCTTCTCTGGGAGGCAGCTGGCTCTTCCTCCTCAGAGGCCTTGTGGCACAGGGTGGGGCTCTGGGGCTCTCTCCCAGATCTAGCCCATAGCCCACGTGAACCGCAGTCCTGCTTTCCAGACAGTTAGCTGCCACAACAAAAGGAAAGCCGTGACTTCATAACATGCAGATACTTTTTGTAGCTCTTGGCAATTTCTGGTAATTTACAAGAAGCGATTTTTATGCTGCTTGGGGGAAAAGGACCACTGCAAAGGAAATCACAGCAAAGTGTGGTTGGACGGCAGCCAAAACAAGTTGGGTGATTTCACACTCTGGAGTCTATTTCATTAAATCCAGTTCAGTCACGAAGATGTCAAGGGGAAGCTTGAGACATCTGCCTTACAAGAGGCTTATGAGAAGGACAGCATCTGAAGATGACAGGACACCGTACAGCATCATAGAATCAAAGGCTTTGATCTCGACGGGACCTCACATGTCGTCAAGTGCAATCTCCTCTTCTTACAGAAGAGGAGACTGAGCCACAGAGAGATGGACGACCGGAAGACCCGAGTTCAAATATGGTCTCAGCTACCTGCTAGCTGCCTGACCTGGACAAGTCAGTCAACTGTCTGCCTCAGTTTCCTCATCTGCAAAATGGGAATAATAACAAAAAATAATAACCCTAGGGATATTATGAGGATAAAATAAGTTCATATTCGCAAAGCGCTTTGCAAAACTGAAAGCATTGTATAAAGGAAAGAAACAAGCAATGGTTTTGTGAGCCAGGCACTGTGCTAAAAGCTTTACAAATAATATCTCATTTGATCATCACAGCAACTCTGGGAGATAGGTGCTATTATTCTCATCCCTATTTTCCAGTTGAGGAAACTGAGGCAGACCTGAATTAAGTGAGTAAGACTACACTTGAACTCAGGTCTTCCTGACTCCAGGCCTATCACTCTATCCAACATATCAGTCAGCTAAATTTGTAGGGGTCTACAAATAAAACTCCTTTCTACAGCTCTTTTTACTGCTTTACTCCTAGCTACATGTATTAAATAACAGACATAATGCGGTAAGGATATGCGGATAGTGAAAAATTTGTGATTTAGGCCCAGAAATTGAGTTAAGCTAAGTCAGAGAATGACCAGCAGGCTTCACCCAGGTCTGCTAGCTTAGAAGAATGACCCTTTCCCCACCATGATCAAACCCAGTAATTGCCCAAGTAGGCTCTTGCACATCTCACCCCCACACTGACTTGTCAGAGGTTTCTGTACTTTAACCAAATCATCACCATTTCAGGATCATTCAACACTCGTCTTTGTAGTCGCTGAAAACATGTTCTAAAATTCCCCGATTCCCAAAGTTTCATGCCTCAAAAAACACAGTCAAGCGATTCCACTGTGTTTGAGTTATTACTTGTCACGTACCGCCCCGAGGCAGGGCCAACATGTGCCAGTAATTAGGGAAATCCCCAAGCAGGGGGGAGGGTAATCCTCATGGAGACAGCAGAAGACCAGGAGGAGAGCGGAAGGCAGAACATGCAACACAAAGGCTCGGCCGGTCTGCTTTAAGGAAAACTCAGGACCATCCAGCAGATGGACGGGTGGGGGGTCAAAGTTCAAAACCGATGGAATCTGCCAAAGATTAGGGCACCGAGCTCCAGCTTCCTCTCAGGGGTTAGGTCTTTGGATCCCAGAGACCCACCCACAGACAGCTTTGGGTGGGCCCCAATCCTACCTCCTACAGGAAGCCTTCCCTAGGCCTCCATGATGCTAGTGCTTTCTCTCTGTGATCAGCTCCGATGTATCCTCTCTGCGTCTTGTCTGTACATTTTTTTTGCGTGTTGTCTCCCCCTAGACTGTGAGCTCTTTGAGGGCAGGGACTGACTTGTACGCTTTCACTGTATCTCCCCACTTAGCAAGTCAGAGGTACTTAATAAATACTTGCTGACTTTATCTAACTGTTGCCTCAGCCACCTCTATGTCATCTGCCTTCATGACATCAACCCCCCACAACACCTCCTTGGGACTTGATGGGACGGCATTGGTGAAAGGCTCTTCTCACTTCTAAAGTACTGGCCACCAGTGTCTTCCTCAGTCCCATGGCCCTTCTTCTCTACTAGAATCACTGCCAAAGCCCCTGAGAGTCTAAGATACCCTGTATACAGGAGTAGTTCTGCCCATCTACCTTCGGCAGGGGTAGACAAGGATTCCACATGTGCACTTTAGGGTTGAGTTGCACTCGGCAGTCAGTCGGGCAACAAGCATTGTTGTTCTAGGGATATAAAGAAAGGTAAAAACAGTCCCCCCCCCCTCTTCAGGGAGCTTACATTTCATTGAAGTGAGCCAGCATGGAAAAATAAGACACAGAGAAGGTACAGAGTAGATCGAGGTAATCTCAGAGGGGAATGGGGAAAGGCCTCCTGCAGAAGGTAGAACTTGGTCTTAAAGGAAGCCAGAGAAAATAAGAGTTGGAGGTGAGGAGAGAAAATTCCAGGCATGGGGGGAAAAGGCAAAGGAATGGAGATGGGAGATTGAGGACCAGCAAGCCAGACAATGCAGCCGTATCAGGGAGTTCCAGAAGGTCAGTAAAGTGAAGAGAGACTGATGGACTGCCGAGTGAATCTAGTGCAGGGAAGGTGATTCCAACTAATAGTTCTAAGAATTACCAACAGAGTGCTGAACAACAGCCGACTTCTCTGTCTACCAGTCTCCAGGAAGGCCTGCCAATGTGGAAGTTATGGGGAGAGAGACTCTCCTGCCATCCCTAGTTCAAGGACTCCCTGGCAGTGGGTGGTGAATGACTGGCTGTTTGTACGCTCGTGTGGACCCTACCAGAGTACCCCACACATCAGCTGGGCAGCCTGCCACTCTCCCAAGTAGTCACTGACCACAGGGCCTTTGGCACATGAGGGGAGGCCTGGGGGAAAATGTAAAAATGAATGGAAATGAGGGAATTTATTTTGCTTCACCATCCTTCTTTGTTACATATATTTTGGGTTTTTTTCCTAATGGCGGGGTGGGGTGGGTGGGAAAGACAGAACAGACATTTTTTTCATTAAAAACTAAAACTAACATTTAATTTTAAAAAACATAGTTTATATAGAAGAATATTTTCTTGGTGGTCAAGTATATTGAGCTTTTATAACCCAATTCCACTGTGGTCAGTTGGACAGCCACGACATCCTGTTGAGAGAATGTGAAACAGTGGAATGGCTGCTCCGGGGTTCAGTGTGCACTCGTTGGCCACCCATGAACTGTGGGTAATGAGCTGCTAAAAGGTGAATCTTTACAAGAACAGCATGAAAAGGTGATGGGGAAGACTTCAGGGGAGACTTCGCTAAAGGTGAGGGGAGAGGAAAGACTGTGGAACCTGAAAATTTCTTCCAGAACAAACGGGTAGTTTTGGCCATGACCGGAGGTCATCAAATTATAGCTTTAGCATTGGAAGTGACCCTAGAGGTCATCTAGTCCAACCGCCTTCATTTTATAAAGGAGCAACTGAGGGTCAGAGAAGCCAAGAGGTTGGCCCCAGGTCCCATGGGTAGGAAATAACCAAGCTCAGATTCAAACACCGCAAACTAAAACCAGATCCAGCCTTCTTTCCGTATCCCTGTGTTCTTCTCTTCCATTCCCCTGTGCAGCCTATGGGAGGAAGGAAGTCATCTTGCCTAAGATGTCTACCACTGCCAAGATGGCACTGCTCTCCTGGAATGAGGGAAAATCAGTGGTGAAGTTCAGTATCACCAGAATGGCAGTAGGGGGAGCTATTGACAAAGTT